TTTTTTTTTTTTTTTGTCTTTTTGAGACAGGGTCTCACTATACAGTTCAGGCTGGCCTTGAGCTCACTTTGTAGCCCAGGCTGGGCTTGAACTCAGTGATTCTCCTGCCTCAGCCTCCCGAGTGCTGGGATTACAGGCATGTGCCACCACACCCAGCTACCATGCTGCTTTTATCACAGTAATTTTGTGGTATAATTTCAAGTCAGAGATTGTGATTCCCCCTGCTTTGGCTTTGTTGCCCAGAATTTCTGTTGCTATTCTTAGTCTCTTCTGGTTCCAAATGAATTTAAGGAATAAACATCTTTAGTTTTTGATTGGGGTTGTACTAAATCTGTATAACAATTTTGGAAGTATGGCCATTTTTACTATGGTTCTTCCTACCTAAGAAGGGATATCTTTCCATTTTCTGATTTTTACTTAATTTGATCGCCTTTTTCACAGTACTGTAGTTTTCAATGTAAAGGTCTTTTACTTACTTCATTAGATTGATTCCTAGGCATTTTTCTTTTTTGGATGCTGTTGTGAAAAGTGTTATTTCCCTGATTTCTTGCTCAGTGAGTTTGTTATTTGTGTATAGGAATGCTATTAATTTTTGTCTTTTTGAGATAGGGTCTCAATGCATGGTTAAGGCTGACCTTGAGCTCACTTTGTAGCCCAGGCGGTCTCCAACTCGTGACAATCTTCCTGCCTCAGTCTCCCGAGTGCTGGGATTACAGGCGTGTGCCACCATGCCCAGCCCTGCTATTAATTTTTGAGTGTTGACTTTGTATCCATCTATACTGAATTTGGTTATTCTAGAAATCTCTTGGTGGAGTTTTTGGGGTCTTATATGTAAAATATTATGTCATCTGCAAATAGTGATAATTGAACTTCCTTCTTTCCTTTCCTTTTTGGTACTGGGAATTGAACTCAGGATCTTGCGCTTGCCACAGAGACTTGGGCCGCTGAACTATATCCCCGGCCCTTCCTTCTATTTCTTTCTCTTGCCTAATTACTTTGGCTAATGTTTCCATAAGTATATTGAATAAGTGTGATGATAGTGGATATCCTTGTCTTGTTCCTGATTTTAGAATAAAAGCTTTCAGTTCTTGTTCATTTAGTATGATATTGGTTGCTGGTTTATCATAGATGGCTTTTATCAGGTTGATAAAAAGACCATCTACTCCAATTTTCTGTAGGGTTTTTTATCATAAATGGGTGTTGGACTTTGTCAGATGCTTTTTCTGCATCTATTGAGATGATCATAGTTTTTGTACTTGGCTCTGTTAATGTGGTGTATTACATTTATTGATTTGCATATGTTGACCCATCCCTGCATGCCTGGGATGAATCCTACTGGGTAATGATGTATAGTCTTCCTGATGGTTTGCTGCATTCTGTCTGTCAGTACATTACTGAGGATTTTGTGTATAAGTTCTTTAGAGAGATTGGCTTGTAGTTCTCTTTTTTGGTTGGATCCTCTGGTTTTGGTATCAGGGTAATGCTTGTTCTCAGGAATGAATTTTGGTTTCATTAAAGAGTTTAAGGGCTGGTGATATAGCTCAGTGGCACAGAGCCTGCCTGGCAAGCTCAAGGTCCTGAGTGCAATTCCTGGTACTCCCCCCACCCCCACCCCACCCCACCCCAAAATTTGAAAAGCAGCAGCATAAGGTCTTGTCTAAATTTCTTGCAGAATTCAGCACTGAATCTGTTAGGACCTCAGATTTACTTTGTTGGTAGGTTTTTTTTTTTAATTTGTATTTGTTTATTTATTTATTTTTTGTCTTCTTGAGACAGGGTCTCTCTATGCAGTTCAGTCTGACCTTGAGCTCACTTTGTAGCCCAGGCTGGCCTCGAACTCGCAACAATCCTCCTGCCTCAGCCTCCCAAGTGCTGGGATTACAGGCGTGTGCCACCACGCCTGGCTTGTTGGTAGGTTTTTCATTACATCTTCAATTTTATTGACTGATATTGGGTTACTTAGAATTTTTATATCTTCTTGAGTCAGTTTTGGTAATTCATATGTATCTAGGACTTTGTCCATTTCTTCTTCTGATTTTTTTTTT